TATTGGACCTTGTAAGTACTAGGAAGTGATCAAAATCACTTCTATAGTTTACCAAATTTAGAGTAAGCAATGTATATGCTTCCATTTTGCATTGTTAACTGAACAGAATGTCAGTAAGTCTCTATGAATTTGATTCTGAATTGCTCACTGAAAAGCACATAATTACACAGAAAAGTAGAATGGAAAAAAGTGGAGATGAGTTACCTAAATATTATTTTACTTTGAGTTGTAGAAAGTAGTCATTTTTTTCCTATGGAATAAATAATGTTAGCAGGTGACCCAAAGGAAAATTACTCTTTAGGGTGAAAGAAGAGTGAAAAGATGAAAGATGAATTTTTTAAGTTCAGGTGTTTCAGGCTAATTATTAGTTTATGTTCAAGTATCTTTTTACTATGACCCACAGTGCCTCACTTACACATGATCTCACTAAAAGGCGCGTGCACACACACACACACACACACACACACACACACACACATGGCCCACTTGTGCAAGAAGGATTCCCACTGGTCTCTTCTCAAGAAAATTTTCACTCTAACTTCACTGAGCCTGAGATGGCTGTGGTCTTACAAGCTCTGAGATGCCCTCTCGGGAGCTTTATTTGTTTCACCCCTGTGATCAAAATAGCTAACAAGCAACATGGAAGAGGAAAAATTTATTTTGGCTCATGGTTTTAGAAGTTCAGTCCATGATTAATGGGCTCCAAGGTAGAAATATCATGGAGGTAGAACATAGTAGAGGAAAGCTGCTCAGCCCATAGCAGCTGGGGAAGCAAAGAGATTGACAAAGAAGCTAGGGACAAGATATAGCCCCAAAGGGCATGCTTCCAAAGACTACTTTCTCCAGCTACACCCACTTGCCTACAGTTAAGAAATTGGCAAAGAATCAGAACAGGCATTCCTTTAAGGAAGAAAAGCAAAGGGCAAACAGGTTTGTGAAAACATGCTAGGCATATCACCTCATAGTTCATTCAAATTATTAATTCATCAAATGGATTGATTCACTGATGAGGTCAAAGCTCTCATAATCCATCATTACCTAAAAACCCCACTTCAGAACCTTGCTGCATGGATGACTGCCGCAGTCTGGCTGGGCACACAATCACGAGCCACCACACAGCTTGTAGATTCAAACAGCAACTTTTATTCCCGAACTCACACCAGCCGTCTACAATCACGTTCTGGGGAAATCCACGTTCTCTGCCCAAATCCACTCCCACTGGGCTTCTGTCTCCCAAAAAATACTGTCTGAATCCCTTGAGAACTCTAGGGGAACTCAGGCAGCAGGATACGCCCTATTCCCAGCAGGAATAATCTTAAACCTTAAACCTGGAACCTAAACTGAGAACGCCCTAAACCCGATTATCCTAAACCGGGAACACCCTAAACCCGGATCCGCCCTGGTCCTTGAGCAAGGTCACCTACATGCAATGTCACTGCAAAATGTCCTATTTCCACGAGTCCTTCCACTAAGCAACATGGGGTACGCTGGCAAGGAAATTGTCATACCTACTTGGCTAATGGCTCCCAGCAGATGACCAAGCTTCTAGCACATGGACTTTATGGAGGACATTCTACATACAAACCATAACAATTATTGTACAATATTGTTCTCTCATTCTACTTCATTTCTATATCACATATAAGTTTTTTTATTTATTTTAATTAGGTATATATGACAGCAGAATACATTTTGATTAACTATACACAATTTCAGCACAATTTTTCATTTCTCTGGTTGTACACCTTGTAGCATCGCACCATATGTGCAGTCATACATGTACCTAGGGTAATGATGTTCATCTCATTCTATCATTTTTCCTGCCCTATTCCCCCTTCCTTTTGCCCAATTAAAGTTCCACCATCCTTCTCTTGCCTCCTCCTTCCCCATTATGGATCAGCATCCACTTATCAGAGAAAAAATTCAGCCTTTGGTTTTGGGGGATTGGCTTACTTTGCTTACCATGTTATTCTTCAACCCCATCCATTTACCTGCAAATGTCATAATTTTATTCTCTTTTAATACTGAGTAAGATTCCATTGTGTATATATACTACAGTTTATTTATACATTCATCTATTGAGTGGCATCTAGGTTGGTTCCACAGTTTAGCTATTATGAATTGAGCTGCTATAAACATTGATGTGGCTGCAGTATTATAGTATGCTGATTTTAAGTCCTTTGGGTACAGAATGAAGAGTGGGTTAACTTGTTTCAAATGGTGGTTCCATTTCTTTCCTTTGAATCTCCATGTCTTCCTCTATCCCAATAAAGCTTACATTTTGTCTTTTGATGCTATCCCATAATTCTTGGATGTTCTGTTCATAGTTTCTTATCATCCTCACTGAGTGGTCAACTTTATTTTCAAAATTGTACATTTTGTCTTCATTGTGTAATGATCTGTCTTCCAAGTGACCTAGTCTGTTGGTGATGCTTTCTATTGAGTTTTTTAATTTGGTTTATTTTTTACTTATTTTCAAGAATTTATGATTTTTTTCAGAATCTTTATATATTGAAGTAATCTTTTGCTACCTGTATTTACTCCTTTATCTCTTTGTTGGTGTGATCAATGGTTGCCTGTATTTGTTCCCTTATCTCTTTGTTGGTGTGATCAATGGTTACCTATATTTGTTCTCTTATCTCTTTGTTGGAGAGATCAATTTTTGCCTGTATTTGATCACTTAGGGCATTCTTTTTATTTTGCAGATCATTTTAATTATGTAAATTCTGAACTCCTTCTCTGACATTTCATCAATTGCTCTGTCCATGGATTCATTATTGTAGTATCTTGGTTTGTTTGGGGCACTTTCTTCCCTTGTTTTTTCATGTTGTCTATGTGTCTTCCTTTCTTGCAGTGTGGATCTGAGATATTACAGTTTCTTCCCTATATTCTTGTAGTACCCATGTAGATTGTCTGTCCCTCACCTTGATGTTGGGCTTCAAGACCCTGCTGGTGTCCCTCAGTGTATGCTACTGCAACTAAAGATGGTGGCAGCAATAGCTTAGGTAACTCAAGATAATAGTGGAGGTGCCCCAAGATATATGCAATGTCTTACAGAGATAGGGCTGAAAGAGTGGGCCTTACAATGTCTTTGGGCTGCCTATTTGGACATTAAGCTGTCTCCAGGCATTGTCTGTTCTCCCTAGATGGAGGCTACTGTGTGGGGAAGGCTATGTCCCAAGATGTAGGTGGGCTAGGCCTAGGCTCCAGGTGAGGCTGCAGGTCTGTGGGGGACTGGGCCTGGGCCCGGGCCCTGGCCCTGGCCCTGTCTGCAGGTAATTAGGAGCCATTCTGGGCCTCTAAGTTTTTAAATTACTACCACTGTTTTTACATCAGACGCTTTTCTAGATACTTCTATCATGTTATCTTATGTTTTGTATAAGTTTTATTAAGCAGGTAGAATTCATTATACATGAAGAAACAATGGCTGTAAGAAGATAACTTGATGAAGGTCACAGAGCTAGAGATGCAATGTGAAGGAATTTGCATAGTGAGATGTCTTGATTTACATTTTAGAAAATCTTTCTGGCTGCCTTCACAGGGGCTTCCTATTGGTCTACAAAGCCACCTTGATTGAGCTCCAGTCTCCTCTTGTGAACTTACCTCACACATCTGCTTCCTTCATTAATCTCCTCCAGTTCCCCTGGCTTTCTGTCTGCCTCTTAAATAAGCCTTTATAATTCATACCTTAGAATTGTTTTAACTGCTATTTCCATTGCTGTTCCCTCCCCAGAGTTCTTTGAGGAAGGATGAGAAGATAAATATTATATATCATGTTGGGTTTTTTAGAACTACTAGAATGTCTATTAATAAGTTTACATGATGACTTTTGTGTATTCCCTTATTCTTTTTTTGGTTCCTTAAGGCAAAGACTTTGTCTTTATCTCCTTTACTTCTATAATACTAATGCCTAAAATGGGTACTCAAAAATACATGTTAAAGAAGAAGAGAAATAATTTTAATCCAAGTTTACCTGATTCCAAATCCTGTGTCCTGCTCAGACTCAACTTGTATTAAGGCTCCTCATTCACTGCCCAAGGATGCCTGTCTGGCTGAGGGCGCCATTAAATAAGCTTTGTAAAAAAGTACATGTAAAAAAAAAAAAATAAAATAAAATAAATAAATAAATAAATAAGCTTTGTGCTCAGAGCTGCAGTTGCCTAAGATGATTCTGCTTTTAATTTGTGAAATGGACCCATGAAGATTGGTCAAGTCTCTGTTCTTCCTACTATATGAGGTCACCTCCCAGGAATAATGCTGATTGGTTGGCTAGACCACAATTTAATGACAGAAATTTTCATTAAACTCAGCAGGAGCTACTACTATACTATACAGATAGTTATCTAAATTTAAACATATATTAATCAAAATGAAATTAAAGACTCAGTTTTGACAACTCATGTTCTGGGCACAGTCTCAGTGTTCAACAGCTACATGTGGCTATTCATTATCATCTTAGACAATGTACACATAGAATATTTTGATTACTACAGAAAGCCTTGTTGGAGAGCATGATTTTAAAGTGATGAGAGGTGAAGTTTTCAGAGGTTTACAGGTGAGATTAAAGATGTTTCCTAATCCACTGAATAAAAAGGCTAGTCTGAAACACAGTGGTTCCTTGTGATTCAAACAGGATCTGAGTCTCACATATCAGTTAAAACAAATCTTAGTGCCTAAATAATAATGAACTTCTCCTTGCTATCTTTTTGTTCTCCACTACTTCTAGGACTCCAAGCCTGTCCATCACTGAAGCCCACATACTTGGATTGCCATTTCCCTAAATGGAACTCTTTCCTGTCTTAATGGAAAATTAGTTACTCCCTATCCTTTCTCTTCTTGTCCCAAATTTCACCCCTGATATTATCTTGTGAGGTTGAAGTTCTGCTTGAATTGTGGCAGGTTGTTATTAACTTTATCTTTAAAAAAATTTATGTCACCTCCAAGAATTTCCTTGTTAATGATGGTGTGCCATTTTTAAAACATGTGTCCCTTCTAAATAGTTCCCTGGCCCATTTGCTGTCAACTAGGCATGACTATGACCTTATGTGAGGAAGAACCAGAGGTCAAGGCTGAGCTTCACTGGACCCTACCCAAAGGCAATACTAAAGTGGTGCAGTGGAGAAAGAATTATGAACATGATGTCATCCAGAGAACTGAAGAGTTGGAGGATGCTAGGTGAGTAGTGCAGGATTATCCTTCACTTGGGGCTGATCACACATAGGAGTCTGAGAATAATGACTGTGTCTTCAAGATCTCATGGTGTATTTAGCAAATCTTTGCAGCATGCATGAGCAAGCCCAAGACCAGAGCAAAATCATCACTAGTGGCAAGAAGCAAAATACTCTAGGAGGCTAAAAAGTATTGTTAAAATGGAAGAGACTATAAAGAAGTCCAGGAGAAGAAAGAAGCCCCTTTATAGGGGTACAAGTGAAATCTTTATTGAAGATATATCTTCAAACTATGGTCTGAAAACTGGGATATCACTTAAAATACTACATTTTATTTGGAACACCTGAATAATTGAGTATGTGTGTATATAAATATACATATTCATTCATCATAGTTGTGTCTCTGGTGTATAACTTATAGACTAACAAGTGCAGCTCTGTGAAAATGGACAGGGATATTTAGAAACATATTAGCATCTATCAGCCTGCTTTATGGGACAGAGGTTGCTTTGAAAAGAAGTCATCCCCAGGCTACACCTAAGGTTAGAATATCAATTTCATAGCCAAAGTCATGAAGAGGTTTTAAAAGTTTCTCTCAGGAGCTATAGAAATTTGGAGACTAGCTAAATGAAGACCCAGTACCAGGGTACAGTACTGAAAATATTTGCTTAGTGGTTGAGAGACTGTATATTTCAGAGAAAGCATCAAACTAACCTCAGCTTATAATCATTAAGGGTTTACTGAAAAGGATGTGTCCCTGGCCTGGTAACTTGGCAGAAATCCAGTGCAGATCAATACATTTCTTTTTAACTTCAACCAGAAATGATGTTTTTTGCAGTCTTCACCTAAATCGTTGAGCCTCATTACTGTGTAGTTGTGGAACAACTGCTGTGTTCTGTCCCAGAAGGAGTACCAAGTGATCCATCTCTGTATCTGCAGTAACTTAAAAAGGGTTTTGAAATGACAGATACTAAAAATACCTGTGGTAGGTGTTTTACAAAAACTCTGGACCCCAGAAAAATGGGGCTTTGAACTGTAATGCTTCCTTACATCAAATCTGTCATTTGCTTCTAAAGTAAGTGTTTTTTCTTCTAATAATTGAAGATTTCAAGTTGAAGTTCCTGTCATCCTGTTTAATGGTTTCTTTAATGTGTGATGGTTAATCTGGATTGTCAATTTGATTGGATTATGAGTTTCTAGGATTAATACTTTGGGATGTGTCCACAAAGGACACATCCATAGATAATTAGCACGTGGGGCAGCAAACTGAGAAGAGACCCCCATCTAATCTGAATATGAGCATCACAGTCCAATAGATTTGAGCCCCAGTTGGAACAAAAAGCCCAAGCAGGAGGAATCTGAGGCAGATGTAAGGTCTATTCTTAGTGGGTGTGTTGATTGCTGCTGCCGTTATCTGAGAGTATTGGACTCCAGCTCCTTCTCTCTTTTGGTCTGGACTCTGAACATTGATTCTCCAAGGAGTTCCTGGGCCTTTAGTCTTGGACTTGGGCTGCATCATTGGCCCTTTTATCTGAGGCTACAGCTTCTTGGACTGAGCAATTATTGGTTCCTCTGGTTCTTTGGTGTGCAGCCAGAGGTATGTGGGATAATCCAGCTTCTGGTGATGAAGCCAATCTAATAAATTCCCCTTTTTATAATCATACATATAAATATTCTCTTGGTTCTGTTCCTCTAGAGAAAATTTACTAATCTACACATATAGTATACAATGGCAAAGGGAAGACATTCCCATTCCAAAACAGAGGAAATGGGAGCATAAAAAGGGAGGGGGGCCAAACCAAGACAAAAAATTAGGCAGGGCAAATATTAAGTTCATTAACTCCATGTTCAGCATTGAAGGCATGTGGTAGGGAGATGTGGGCCCAAAAGGGCTTGGGCAGCCCTACTCCTATGGCCTTGTTGGTTGCAACCCACATGGCCTCTCTCCTGACCTGACTCTGTCCACAGACTGCAGATATTTTTGGCAGGTGGTCCACAGTCCTCATATTTCTTACTTCTTCAAGTCTCCATTGCAGTGTTGGTTTCACTGTCACAACTTCATGCATCACCCTCTCGGGTTACCCACAGGAATTCTGACTCTGCTACTCTTTGCCTAAAATACCATGCCTTCCTTTGAAGATTTCAAGTTGAAGTTCAAGGATTCAGTGGAATCCTTCATGAGCTCTTAACTTCAGCATCCTGCATTCCTGCAGAAACAGCACCACATGGAAGATGCCAAGGTCTGCTACCAGCTTAAGTAGTAGCTGGGCCTTTTGGAACCCTGGCTGCAGTAGCCTCTTAGTGCCTGAGCAGCTAAGTGTGCCCCCTCAAAATCTCATATATTAGGCAATGTTCAGAGGTGAAAAGATTGGGTTATGAGAGTTTTAACCTCCTCAATGGAATAATCCATTTGAAGGATTAATGATTTGAATGGATTACTGGTTTGTAATGATAAGCAGGTGGGTGTGGCTGACAGGGGCCATGTCCTTAGACTATATCTTGTCCTTGGTTCCTCCTGCATTCTATGACTTTCTGCTTCCTGAATGTCATGAGCTGAGCAACCTTTTTCTGCCACACCCTCCTCCATTATGTTCTGTCTCACCTCAGGCCCAGAACAATGCACTCAGCCAGACATGGATTGGACCTCTGAAACTGTGAACCTAAAATAAACTTTTCTCCCATGTAAGTTTTTCTTTTTCTTATAGTCACAGCAATTAATAGTTGCCAAACTAGGTGGGTAGAAAAGAAGGAAAGAATATAGACTGCTTTATGACCACATGAATTTGTTTGAACTAGTTTTGTAGGATGTGACAACTAAAGGAAAAGAATAGGCAACATGGTAATATTTGAAGATCCTTTTGATTTAACAATTATTTGAATGCCAAATATATCCCTAAATATATCTAAATCCCCTAGAGGTAGGCAACTACAAATATATTTAGGATCCTATGTTTTTCAGTTTGGAAATTTGAAGATCTGCCTGATTTGCTTTCAGGATGGGGTTCACATGAGTTAGATTAGCAGAATCAAGCTCACCTAAGCCCAATTACTATTTTGCCTTTAAAAAAAAAAAATTGGAGTTCAATATTCAAGAATAAGAATTTGGTTTCTTACTCTCACATTTATTTGCCTATGCTAAGCAACTAAGTAGGTGCTCATGGTTAGCAAGTTAAACAGCTAAATAGGTAGCTTTTATTAAATATAATATAAAATTATCAGTAATATAAGGGTGACCTTTTTTTTTTTATTTGCCCTTGATTTGCCCTGGAATTCCCCAGTTTTACCATTGAAAATCTCATGTCCTGAGTCCCTCAGCATTGTGGATCACCCAAAGTACACTCCTGTTTTCTGGGTACTAATCAAGTATTTCTAAAGTAGTCACAATGAATGTAATTATTTTATAAGACTCCTGTTTTAGGTTGGATAAAGTATCAGGATATCCTCTTAGGAAGAATAAACAGAAAGTGAAGTGACATGGTCAGAAATCCAGTGAGCAAAGAGTTGTTGCTTGAGCACAGAGCCTTCTTGAATGCTGAGCAGAGACTGATTTTGTAGGATTCCACCCAAAAAAGACGGGGTGGGGTGGGGAGCTTTATTACCACACTGCTCTATTGAGCTCTGTGATGTTTAATTTTGGTTCTTAACTTGGTAGGAATGAGCGATGACTAGAACACTGGTAAAGCACACAAACACTTTGGGTTTGTTTCTGTGGGTGGTTTCCAGAACCTTATTGGTCAGAGAAATGAGAAAGACCCACACCGAATGTGTGGTCCAATGTTGGTCCAGTGGACTGGGGGACTAGATGGAACAAAACACAGAAGGAAAGGGCAGCTCCCACTGTATGCTAGAAACTTCTTCAGTTGAAGTGTTGTTTTGTTTGCTTGCTAGCTGTTGTTTGCTGCCATCATCTCTGGATATCAGATGATAGATTCTTCAACCTTTGTACATGGACTTGCACCAGCCACTCTCCTGGGGCATCCAGGTGTTCAGTGTTAGGCTGGGATTACATCACTGTTCCCTTTTGTTCTGAGATTTCCAGCTTCTTGGGCTGAGCAGCTACTGGCTTCCTCGGCTATCCAGCCTGCAGACAACTACTGTGCAACTGTAAGCCTCTGATTGTGTAAGCCAGTCTAATAAACCCCTCTTATATATACATTCTACTGTTTTCATTCCTCTGGAGAGCTCTGACTAATGGGACTAGTTGTGTGGTGCATGTTGATTCATGGGGACCTTTTTCAGTTTAATAACAGTGGAGAAGGAAAGCTTTGGCATATACTGTTCCTTTCATCTAAGAAGTGTAATGAGAGAGTAAGAATGGGACAGCCAGCAACCCTGCAGGAGACATAAGCAAGAGAACACATTTCATTCATTAAGAATTATTGAGTGCTGTGTTATGGGGGTGATGGAGGAAGCACTTTAATAAACCACTCTGTCACAGAGGATGCTGGAGTGACTAAAGGGTCCCATAAGAGCACTGGGACCTGTTAAGTGGACGTCATGATGGGTGGATCTAGGATGAATAGAAATCTCAGCACAGGAGCTGATACGTAGAAGACATTAAGAGAGAAGAGAAAAATGTGTCACGTTTAGGAGCCAAATGATGAGAGGTTGAGGGAATGAGCAGGAGAGCGTGAGTGTTCCTTGGAAGCAACACAGCCAAGGAGTTCTTTAGAGACTAAGTGTGCCTGAGGATTTTCACATAGCTTACTATTGGTAAGGGGTTCAGAACAATCTTATTTCCCCCATTTCTTACGAAATTGTCAATAAATTATGTATTATTAAAGTTTTAGGGCAAGTAAATATTTATAGGAATTCAAAGAGATTCTGAGTTCCAAGTCTAGGCTTCAAAGAAAGGGGAAATAAAATCCATGCAGTCACAGGAGGCAGAGGACAGTGGTCAGCCGACAACTGGGTTCTTTAGGTAGAAGGAGCTGCTTTTATTTCATTCTATTAAGCCAACCTCTGAGGCCATCCTATTTGGTACCTGAGCCCTGGACAGACTTGATGAGCTCTGTGACAGTTGATGTCTCACATGATGTCCTGTGGGCCTGCCCCTCTCAGGAAGAAGCTGGCAATTAGCTTACAGGAGGCTGCGGAAGCCATGCAGGTGGCCAACGCCAAGAATGCCTCTGTGGAAAGGGCCCGGCACCAACTGCACCTTGAGCTGGGGGATGCCCTGTCTGAGCTTGGGAAGGTCTGCTCTGTAGCAGCTGCACTGGACTAGAAGCAGCAGCAGTCTGAGGAGGCCCTTGCTGACTGGGGGAAGCAGAAGCATGAGGAGTCCCAGGCATTACTGGCTGCCTCTCAGAAGGAGGCCTGAGCTCTCAGCACAGGGTCCTCGAGCTCAAGCACACTTATGAAGAGAGCAGTGAGGACCAGGAGACACGGAGGAGGGAGAACAAGAACTTGCAAGGTCCTCTCAGCTGGGCTTCCAACCCAAGCAAGAGCCAGGAGCCAGGAGCTTGGGAAGAGCCTTGGCTACAGAGCAAGGCTGTCTTCTGTGGGTGGAGAGCCTTGGCCTATCCATGTTCCCATTCATGTTCTAATTTTTTAAGGTTTAGGGCTTCATTGTGGCATTTTTTTTCTATAGATGTTATTTGCATGAAATTAATTGTAAAAGTAAAACTAGTTTTATGCCTTTAGCTCCAGTTCTACTCAGTAAGGAAACCACTCTGAAGAACTTCTTGATATCCATAGCCTTACATAGATTTTCCATGTATATATTCATGTCTCTTTTAACCAGATTAAAAATTGTTCCATACCTTTTATTCAGTATATTTTATAATTTAACAAATATTTGTGTAGCCCATGCTATATTCTAGGTACTGTTTTTCATACAGCTATTCATTGTTTAAGTCTCATAAGAGCCTTGATGTTAGTTTCATGCGTGAAATGGATATTATATTGAGTCACATAAGTAAGGTTAAATGGTTTGGGTGGCTTCACAGTGGATAAGTAGCAGATCTGGGTGTTGAGCAGCTGGGCTCCAGGGTGGACACAGCTATGCTCCCTTCCATGTACCTTGTAGTTCATTACATGCCTACGCATGAAGAGCTGCCACATGCTTTAAAAAGCTAGATAGTGTTTCATAATAGGGTTGACCAAAACTTATTTAACCTATTTACTTTAGGTCTAAGTTTTCATAATTATAAATAATTCTATATTATATATTGTATACACATAAATATTTCAGCAGAAGGGATTCATAGAAATGAAATAGCAGAGTTAAAGAAATGAATTTAAAAATTTTAACATGCAGCCAATTTACCCCACCACCAATCAATCGCATGATAACCCCAAGGTGCCCTGGAGGCAAGTTTGTTACTACTGCTTTCTGTCTTGACTTCCACAGTCCATGATCACTGACTGGGCTTTGAGGGGTGCTCAAAAACTGGATAGAAAACTTCAGCTACATCCAAACCTGGAGGGTTTGTTGTAACAGATGGCTGGGCACAACCCCAAAGTTTGATTCAATAGGTTTGAAATGGGGCCTGTGAATTTGCACATCTAATAAATTCCTAGGTGAGGCCTATACCAGCTGATCTGAGGACCACATGTGGTCTAGAGTGAGCCTTGGAGTTTGGGCTTTTCTGAAAAGCTCTTCAAGTGATTCTAAGGTGCAGTCAGAATTGAGAAAAGCTGCTCTGAGTTTTCTCTGAGGAACCGTTCTTTGGATAGGACATATGTGAAAAGGGAGTATAATTTACATGAAAATTCTCATCTAATGCATTGTTCTGTACTTCTTAAAACTTTTGTCATATCTTACTCGGGCACACCTATACTCCCAACTGCTCAGGAGGCTGAAGCAGAAGGATCACAAGTTCAAGGACAACCTGAACAACTTAGTGAGATTCCGTCTCCAAATAAAATTTTAAAAAGGTAAGCGTATATCCCAGTAATAGAACACTCTGCTAGCATACACAAGGATCTGTATTCAATCCTCAGTACAGGGGGAAAAAATTACACATTTCACCAGTTCCAGATCTCAGAACTAGAACAGGTAAACTCCTGGGCTCTCTCTACTCCTCAGTGTGAGGTAATTTCCAGAGATACAAGACCTAAACTATACTAGGCCGGTATAAGGTGGCAGAGGTTTTGTGACTTCTGGAAGCCTCTGTCACAGGCTGTGTTCATACTAAGATAGCCAAAACTTTCAAGTGCTTGAGTTGAAGTCACTGTCTTTCCTGAGCCCCTTGTGTTCATCTAGCCTATCTGAGGCCATGTGTTGGCTGCTGGCAGACAGTGACCACCTGATGCTTTAAGGTCTTGTTCTAGTGTTAAGTGGTGGCTTACACTGTGTTGACAGCTAAGCACTTCCACTGGAAGTGTAGGGATTCCAGGTCTGTGTCTGGGTGTACTTCCAGGTAGACTCTGAAATGGCTCTAACAAGCAGAACAACCCTGCAGAGTGCACAGGCTGTCCAATGTCCCTGACTCTAAGAAGCACCATCCTTCCCATTTGCTGACAGTTTCCTGGCAGATGGCAAAAGAATATGTAGACAAAGGGATGCCTTTTTCTAATTGTAACACAGATCCCCTGTGAATTAATGGTGGCTCTACTATCAAGTTTCCAAAGGATTACATGAACATGGTCCCAGCAGGCCTCTAGGAGTATTCGGATGTGCTTGTTATCATGGGTCTGAGGCTGAGCCCTCTCACTCACACTGCTATTCTTCCCTCTCTCCAGAACAGATTTCTAGCCTGACAAACCAGGATAGAAAAGGGACCCAGACTTTAACTGAAATGGAAAAGGTCAAGAAACCGATTGGACAAGAAAAGATTGAAGCCCAAGTGACACTAGAAGAAAGGGAGGTATGATCTCGGGAAAAAGGAGGTTTTCCCCACCAAGCAAAAGAGAAAATCTGCAACCATATCCTGACACTGGCTTAACTGATTACTACATGCTGGGCACCATGCCAAATGCTTGATATGCATTATTTTAGGTAATCACCCCCTAAAAACTATTTTTCCCATTTACAAAGGAAGAAAATGAGGCCCAGAGATCAGGATGAACACTAGTGAATACAAATCTCCTGATTCTAATGACTAGAGCAACTGTAGCTATCTTGTTCCCCCGTTTATCCCCAGTGCCTATACTCTTAGAATGCAGCCTAAGGACAAGTGCCTGGGCACCACCCAGGAGCTTGTGGGAAATTCAGAATCTCAGACCTCTCCCCAGCTCCAGTGAATCAGAATCTGCATTTTAACTAGATCCCTTGATGTTTCCTATGCAGGCTAACATTGGGGGAAGCACTGGCCTGGAACCCTGCTGGCCTATAGGAAGAGCTCAACAAGTACTCATCCAAAGTTGAAAGAATATATACCCTCCTAGCTGCACACCTTTTAAATAGAGTCCATCAAAGACACTTTCCCTCAAAAAAAAAAAATAAATAAATAACTTTAGTTTTTCCAATGAAATTCCCAGAGATGTTCTCAGATATGTGCTTCTACAGTTTTTCAGGAATGTTTTCAGTGTTATGGACTCAAAGTTCAGCAAAAGTCTCTGGCTTTATCCCTGAGTGTGTGTGAGAGATTGAAAGGGAGATCTTTTTCCAAAAATGATGCTGAACTAAAAAGGGAGTTGTGCTGTGACAGTTATGAGGTGTTATAAAAGCCCTAAAGGGCCTTTTTCCTCCCAGCTGAATTTCATCAGTTTGACTCAACCTTCTGAATAGACACAAGGACACTATTATTCAGCCCCTAATAGCACATGCCTGTAATCCTAGTGAGATTCTGACTCTAAATACCTCAGTGGTAGAGCAATTGCCTAGCTTTCTCAAAGCCCCTGGGTTAAATCCCCAGTACAGGGTGTGTGGGGGGGAAATATATATATCCATATATTTCCATATACATATGGAGATATATATGTGTGTGTGTGTGTATATATCTACCTGTCTACTCACCTACTCACCGGTAGAGAGAATGATTTTTTGAAAGTGTAACAGCCAGTCAGTTTGGGGAAGGGAACTTTTGGAAAATATAGTAATATAAATTTAGACCTAAAGAACTGCACTGGACAAGCATTGTCTGTTAAACCTCATCACTGCAATTCTGTAAGAAAGCTGTGATGCAGAAGAAGGTAAGTCCACATTACCCTTTATGAAGAGTTTTCAAGCGCACAGCTCTTGCTTTTTTATGCACAAATGTTGCCTGAGATCATCCTCATTTTATATAGAATCCCTTCAGGTGGCAGTGTGGTGTCTGATAGCAAGTCTGGTTCTTGTACAGTTGAGGCATTTAGTTTCATCTAGTTGTTATCTTTGGCCCTCTGCATCCTGCCTGGGGGCTTTCTGAAGCTACCATCCTAACTAAAAAAAGTAAATTTTATGGTATAAATTTAAACATTATAACAAAACAATGAGAAATACATTTGAAAGAGGTGATTTTAGTCCTATGTAACATACAAGCATCTTTGTATATTGAATCAACCAGGACTCACATCAAAGGTGATGGCTTAAGACCACAGCGCTCATACCATTTAGTACCACTAGATGGCAATGCGTGCTATTAGACTTTTCTCCAGTTGTATCTTCAGCCACATCATAAATACTTCATCCATTTGGACATATACTCTTGGCTTTGGGTTATTTCTTTTCCTGGTTGAGCATTTGTGAAAAACATTATTATTTCTCCTTTTAATTCCATAAAACTCAAATTATCACAGGTCACCTTCTCTACAAAGATTCATTTCTCAGGGTATTCTAGAGGGTTAGAAGTGAAAGTTTCCTCCTGAAGAAACTATACCACTCCCTCAGAAGAAATTGCCATCCAACCATTTTGATTTCTTTTCTATTGAAGGTAGTGTTCAAAGACTATCAAAGGAGGCCTTATTAAAATTTCTAGTCAATTTTACTTTTTACTTTTGATGGTATGTGTTAATCACTCCTCAGAGCAGATTATAAAACATTATCGGAAGTTTCCACTGCCCTCAGAACTGTCCAGAGTTAACTGACCAACAGAGCATCATGCTTATGCCCTTATATAACATTAGCATGCTCCATGTGTGTGTTGCTGCTTCTTCCTTTATAGACATTTTATCTGTGAAACAAACTTTTAAATATTTCTTCAAACTTACACTGTTAGCATTGAATCTCCTTTAAAACATCCCTGGAAACAATCCCCTGACCTAGGCAACAATCAAAGGCTCAGGGGATCTCCCCATGTGTCACAAGAATCCATTTGTAGTAATAGTACTCATTTAGGTAACAATGGCTCAAACTTAATGCTATGTGTCTAGTGCATTCTAAATTCTTTTATTTGTTCTTTATATGACAATATTTGGGCACTATTCCATTTCTTGTTCTCTGAACACATTCAGCTTCCAACCTTCTGAGATGTTGGAATTAAAAGATATAAGGTGGTAGTTTTGTCCCAACTTTGATACATTTATTGATTCACCCTGAAGATGGAATATATTAGAAAAAGTCAAGAGTAATAAATGTAAGCATATAAATATGTTACAGACAAGATTGAAAATTTCTATTTTTAAAAATTCCTTAGAATTCTTGTTCTTGAGCTAAGCTGAAAGACCTTAGAATGTCAAAGCTGTTAGTGAAACGACAAAGCAATCATTCATTTTTCATGTCACCCAGTTGTCAGGTACCTGATTTAAACCTAGATCTCTCTCAATAAGTTTTGTCCAAAATAATACTTCATTTAATTTTTTTAAACTTATTCCAGGGAGCTCTGGAAAATAATCTGGAAAGCAAGAGTCTTCATTTCCAGTTAGAACTCATGGAAGCTAAAGCAGAATTTGAAAGTTTTAGAGAAAGAGGAAGAAATAGAAAGTTTTAAGTAACTAAGATTATTTTGGAAAAGACAATAGTTATGTATTTCAGGATACTTGAATGAATAGGACTCACTGTGTTTGGCTGCTTTTCTGACCTCTTTTGGGATGTTACCAAAGAAACTAACACTGTAAGGGAATCTTCCATTAAATGCACTGCTATTAACACAAGGGAATACCTTCATATAATTGTTTTAAATTTAATCAGCTTCTGCTCTCAGATGTGACTCAGGATAACACATTCTTAAAAAGTGATGTATAAGGACCATGTGTACTATCTGGGTCCCCTGTGTCAAGTCTCTTCCTTCAGCATTCAAGAAACAGACTGAAAATGCTGAACTATGGAGGAAAGAACTAAAAAGTCGGGTGCTGTATGTTAAGTAACATCAGAGCAGAGTGAGGTTTTCCCATACCCCTGCCTGTACACTTAGCCATTTGTTTGGTGAGGGCAGAGCCCATAGCTAAGAGCCTTATTGAATCTCTGTTGAAGCAGCTGAGTCTTAATAGGAAACTCAATTGGATGGGACTCAGGCACTTCTGGATCTTTCCATAACTTCCGTATAACAAGCTGATGACTGTTGACATCCTATTTCTTAGCTTCTTGGGAAAGTTAGGGAATAAAGAAGCACCCACATGTTACAGAAGGTGGTAAGGAAGATCAGCAACCTGGTGATGGCAAAGCATTTCACACTCTACAGATCAAAGGCACAATTATAAACACATGGAATTAATGATGATTATATTATCTATCTGAACTGTTCCTTAAGTCAAAGCTGTATGTCAGCAAAGAAAATCATTAGTCAGAGGTTCACCTGGAAATTTATTTTCAATGTGTTTGATTAAAAAACAATTAATCCTGTTAACATGTTCAGTTGACCACAGTCTGTTTTCTGTCCAAACTCCTATGGGGTCCCTATTTAATGAGAATGTCAGGCCAAATTTGGCCCTCTCTGAGCTTTGAGTTATCTTTGCTATCACTCACTGGCATTTTCCTTCAGAGAACTGACTACAGTGAGAAATTCTGGTCTACTTAAGAGGCTCTGAGTCACTGTCTAAAAGAATTTTTTTTGATGAAGGCAAAATCTTTGGGCCTTGATGTTTGTCCTGCTTCCTTCCACGAGGAACAAAAATGAATGTCTCCTTTGTGTAGTTAAGAAAAAAAAAATGTGACTACAGGTAACGTCAAATCTGTGCCTATAAATAAACCCAGTTAGGAAAGAATGAATCCTCAGAGAGTCTGTGTCTCATCAGGCACATCTGAATGCCAGAGAGCAGTTCACCAATTGTAATAATCTTAGTGCTTTGGAAGCTAGAGATCCACACAGCTAAGGTTAAGAAAAGAAAGAACCAAAGACAGTATTAGTGGTGAAGGTCCTGGAAAAAGAAGGGGCTGGCTGGAGGCGTTGGAGATGAGCTCTACCTAGTTTTAGTTAATGATTCATAGTAGCCATAATAAGTACATCTAGCATCCAGAAAGGAAAGATGAGCATATTTTCCAAAATATCCTGTATACAATTCCATAGCATATCTGCTCTGTGAGTGCAGATTCTATCAAAATGCCTTGGTTGAATCTGACTTCAGGACTAGGAGGAATCTGAGTAGACTGCCAGGGCTAATGCACAAGCATCAACTTCCAGGTAATCCAAAGTAAGCTGGAAATTATAGAGCTCAAAGAAAAACCTTCCTGAGAGAAGAAGAGGTTCAAGGTCCTACATCCACATAAACCATCAGCCTCCAGCTGAGCAATCTATTAAGGCATGACCCAGGGAGTTGAAGGGACCAGGAAAGCAGAGGAGAGACCCACAGGAAAACACCAGACCCTGGCAGTGCAGCTGACTATGAGGCCCTCAGCTCCTTGGCTGCTGAACTTGTTCTTAGTCTGGTGAGGACTAATCCTGAGTGAGCATCTCAGAGACCTGCTGGTGGTGTGTGTGTGATATAGTTCACTAATTTGCAAATATTGGAGCTCTATGTTGGCAGGATATCGGGCCTACTATTCTAGTTAGGGCTTCTTAAACGTTTATGGATGATACAACTATTTCATGTTTTATTTCTACAAATGTTACTATTGGCATAGCTAGAGGGGGGGAGGTGACAGTGCAGTCACTGATGGAAGAACTTGGAGCTTTGGTGACTGACTTTGATCCTCTCCCTCCTACACACAGGGGAGGAGGCCAGCTTAAAGGCAAACTGGTGTCCATCATTGCTGTGGAGTCAACCCCGACCACCATGACTGGCCTGCGAACAAGGTAGTCACTTTCATCCTGTCCCAGTGTTTCCCTGAAATGCTCAAATGGGTGAGAGTCATGCCACTGGCCTAGAATCCTGACACTTGGTCCATATACTACTCTCCACCCAGGGAGGTGCTTTGAGGAAGGAGGCACTGAAATTTTATATTCTACCAAAATACATCTGTTTTGGTTTGATTACCTGTGGAAGGGATGGGCAAACATTTTCTGTAAAGGGTTAGATACTAAATATTTTTAACTCTGTGAGACACATGTTCTCTGTGGCAACCACCCAGCTTTGAGGTTGTAGTTTAAAAGCAGTCCATCGAATGGGCACCATGGGATTTGGCTCACAGCCCATGGTTCTCCCACCCTGGTCTCAATCTTAGTTTAAGTATCTAGTGGTGCTCCATCATTTTTTCCTTTCTCTGAACTCAATTATATCAAACTTTGCCACATGGTCTCAATTTATATGCACCATTTGATTTAATTTTTAATTGTCTGACTGAGTCTGTCAGGAGAATGTTTAAATTTCTTCCCATTTCTAAGAAAATATTTTTCATATCTTCAGAAAGTAGGGTCTCATTCTAATATGGTTAGCAAAAATACTTCATAGATCATTTAAAGGGGAATCACATGTCTTTGGATTATTGAGAATCTCATATTTCTGTGATACGGATAAGCAACAGTGTGAGAAGATAAAAGAACTAGTGAACTGCATTTAAAATCACTAGCTTTTCAAATTTTAAGTTTTAATGTTGCTTGGATTTTTGTTTTTGTTTTCTTCATTTAGTTTCTTACATTTGAAAAACAAAAAGGAATGTCTTACTATATCATCATAATCTTAAGTGCTTTGTTTTTCTTAAAAAAAAAAAAAATGTGCTTGAGAGAGTTCTCATTTTAAAGATTTCTTGACCAGGCATGAAATGTGTTGATTGTTTAGCAGGCATTCTTCAGGGCTGTGCCATTTCCATTCCTCTTAAACCACAGCATTGTTTGCTTTTGCAGACACTCGTGACGTTTCATAGACAACTGTGAGGAAACTTGTATCTGAAACAGTTTGTCAGCTGCAGAATGTGTTTCTATGCAGAGGATTTTGACACCAGGCCAGCAATGCTTTTGTCTTCCTGTGTAGGGACGGTCGGTTGCAGCAAGAATGAAAGCCTCTGCCATGGAAATCAGAGGAATGTCTTAAAGCTTTTAGTGATGTGGAGTATGAGTGTTGCTACATGAGTTTGCAAGAGCTCTCATCACAGAATACAAGGACTGTGTAGATTACAAAATAGATATTGATTTTCTCACAGTTCTGGAGTTACAAATTTGAGAAGAAGTGATTGCCAGGCTTCATGTCTCCCAAGGTCTCTGTCCTTGGCTTGTAGACACATGGCCGCTTCTTTCTTGGACTGTCCCCACATGGTCTTTCCTCTGTTTGTACACAGTCCTGGTGTCTCCTCCTCTTCTTATAGGGACACTAGTGCTATTAGATTAGGGCCCACCCTAACAGCCTTGTTTTATCTCAGTTAACTCTTTAAACTTCTGTCTCCAAATACAGTCTCATTCTGAGATACTGGGGGTTAGGCTTCAATATATGAATTTAGGAGATAAACATTTCACCCCATAAGAGTTCCTTTTAACTTATGGAGACCTATAGGATTCTTCACTGGGAGAGGCATGAAAGCCCAGCAGTCAAGGACAGGCATGAAAGTTTGACCTAAGTTTGTGAGAGCCAGAGTGATGGGTTGGCAAAGGAGTGGTCCTAACCCTGGGCTCTGGAGCCGTAAGGACTTGTTTCTCACAGATTTCCATAACTCCTATGAGACAACCCCACCAACATAAGGAGAAAGGTGGTCATGAAAAGTAGGGCCCCGACCTGTGACCAAATGGCAAACTCTGATCATTGTCCTGCTCCCCTGCAGGCTGTGTGCCTCCCTGATCAGCCTCCGAGTTCAGCTCACAGGCTCCATGACAACTCATTATGGAGTTTCATTCTGACCCCAGATGAATGCATTTCTGATGTTTGTTCTGAAAGACTTCCTCATGAGGAAGAATGAAAGAAAGAAGGGCTCCTCCCTTCTTTCTTTTATCTTCCCCATCCAGCACTAGATCCCTGTTTCACAGTGTGAGCTTAACAGGGCACATGTTAGTGATAGCAGTTAAATTGTTCTAATGAATAACCACAAAATTTTGGTAGCTTAAAACAAAAATTTGGGTTTTTCCCAAGTCAGAGTCTAATATAGGTCAGAATTGAAAATAAGCCATATAACTTGCTTCCACTAGGCACCAACTCCTAAAGATTTCACTTCCAATAGTGTCACAGATTGGTGACAAGTTTTTAACATATGGGCCTTTCGGGGATACTTTAATGACAGCATGAGTCTAAAGTGTTTTCATTTTTTAAAGAGCAGGTGAGGGGATAGGTTGGTGAATCTATGTCCATCATAACAGATTAAGTAAGATTTCCAGACCAATCCCAGCCCACCCCCAAGTGAAGCACAAGAATCTTTTATTCCTGTGGGGTATTCCTAGTCTTCTCTGAGATCACCTTAAGAATTATTCAGGGCAAATATCTGGATTTTAATTCCAGAAGTCAGATTTCTTCTCAATTGTGATGTTATAGATATGGAAGAGAGAGTTCAGGACTCGCAGAAGTAAAAATGTGCATGGCCAAGACTTGGAATGGTGCACTTCACTATGGCCCCAGTCCACTAGCTAGAATTAGATCACATGATCCCCAACCATCTGCAAGAGTGTTGGGAAATGAAAATTGCCTAGGGTGTCCTCCTTTTATCATGGTTTTCCTGTACACACAGCAGTTGTCCGAGCTTCTGTCACTTTATAAATATGGTTTCAGCATAATATTTTGCTTCTTTTGAAGGAATATTAAAACAATTTAATATCACATAGTAATTTGTTTTCTCAAACTCCTAGAGAAAGAGAACTATGCTATCATAGGATAGTTAGTGGCTACAGGCCATTAGGATAGTATTCTGGGTCTCAGAACTTACTCCAAACTTGGTAGCTCTTTTTTGCCCAGTTCTGACATTTTTCACCATTAAAAGTAATATAACAACATCCTCACTTTACTGTTGAACACTCTTGGAAATATAGATATTTGCCCTAAATAATCCTCCAGGGGATTTCAGAGAAGACTAGGAATTCCCCACAGGAATCTTGAAAAGACTCTTGTGCTTTCTTAACTTGGGGGCAAGTTGGGATTGGTCTAAAAATCTTACTTAATCTGTTATGATGGACATAGGTTCACCAACCTAACCCCTCATCCTCTCTTAAAAAAAAAAAATACTTTAGACTCATGCTCTAATTAAAGTGTCCCCAAAAGGCCCATATCTGAAAAACTTATCACCAACCTGTGGCACTATTGGAGTGAAATCTTTAGGAGTTGGTGCCTAGTGGAGGCAAGTTAGGTCATTAGGGTTCTGTCCTTCAAGTGGGACCCTAGCCCCTTACTCTCTTTATCCTTGCTTCCTGGCTGCCATGAAGTTAGAAACCCTCTGCCACATGCTCCTTCCCTGATGTACTTCACTGCCATGGGCCCAAACAAAGGGCCAGGTGACTGTGGACTGAAAACTCTGAAACTGTGAGCCAAAATAGGCCTTTCATCCTTATAAGGTAAATATTCCTAGGTATTTGTTCTAGTGACAGAAAGCTGAATAATATAAGGGTGTAAAGTGTAAATTCATGTCAAAGGCATTCTTTTGAGAAGAGAGCCCTAAAGGACCCCGATTGCACAGGGCCACCAAGTAGAATTGGCCTCTCAGGATTGGTTTCCCTATGTTCAGTTGTCCCAGCACTCAGAAGCCACTGCACCCCGTATGGCTCACACTGGCAGCAGACCTTGCCCCCATCATGATGCTGATATGGTAAGCATGCAGACTCTATGAGTTATGGGTCATGGAGGTTTCCACTGATATTTCAAAGGAAAACCTAGAAGGCCAGGAAATGTGTGTTAAGGTCAGAATCCCTGCAAGCAGCCTCCAGTGGGGCCATGTGTGAATCTGTGAGAGTGAAACTGAAATTGCAATGGAAAACCCAGGGTGTTGGGGATGCCAGAAGGTGGGATGCCTGCTGAAGGAAGCTGCAGGGCGAGTTCAGCCATCCCGGGAGAGTTGCCATATGGGCTGAATCCAGCAAGGTCATGGGGCAGGGCTGTCCAAGTCCCATGGGGTCACATGAGGCACCCCAGATGCCATACTTAGAGCTATAGGATTTAATGTTTTGCTGCTACTTTTCAGCCTTACTTTAATTCCTCCTAATTTTGTCCCTAGTCTTCCCTTTAAAATAGAGGAGTTCACCTGTGTCATTGCATCTCAGAAGTACATAATTATTTTCATCTTTATGGGGGCTCATAGTACAGGTTTCCTAAGTCTCAGAGGAGACTTTGGACTTGGACTTTGGAGCAATGCTGGAACTTGTAAGACTGTGGGGACCCATGGGGATGCACTAAATGGATTTTGTGTAATGAAATGGATATGAGACTCTGGGAAACTGAGATGGAATGCCATGGTTTGAAATTATTCCACAAAGGCCAATATTCAAGGCCTGGCCACCAGTCTATAGTGCTCTTGGAAAAGGGTGGGGCCTTTAGGAAGTGAGGCCCAGTGGAGGAAAGGTGGGACCTTAGAGGCATGCCCTTAAAGGGGATAAGGGGACCCAGACCCTTACTCTCTTTTGTCTTTGCTTCTTGGGGGTCATAGGTGAGCAGATTCTCTGCTGCATGTGCCCATCATGATGTACTATGCCACCACAGGTCCAAAGCAACAGGGTCAAGTGACTGTAGATGGAAACCTACTAACTTGTGTGTCAAGATAAACCTTTCCTTCTAATAAGCTGATTTGTCTTAGGCATGTGTTATAGCAATGGAAAGCAGAATAACAAAACTAATTTTGTTAATTGCCTGGAATTTTTCTTGAGTTTTAATTTTTTTTTCAATTTTCTAAGCTGTTGTGAACATAGCAGGCAACTTTTCTTAATTTGGGTGTGTGATATTTTTCCCCAGAATGTCATTCTAAAATTAGGCAGAAACAGCAGTATGCTATTGAATCCCTTCAGTCTAGTCTGAATTCTGAAGCCAAGAGCAGACTTGAGGCTACCAGGCTGAAGAAGAAGATGGAAGGGGACCTGATGGAGATGGAATGCCAGCTTCACTGTGCCAACTGGCAGGTGTCTGAGGCAACCAAATACCTGACACAGCTTCAGAGTCAATGAAGGTAATATAGGGTGAAGGTGAAATGCAAACTAAGCAACAGATTGTCCTGAGAAATAAAGCTGAGGACAACAAATTTCATCCTGTAAGAGAACAAGAGTATGCTTAAATTAAAAGACGCAGAACTCTGCTCAGAGCCTGTGTGCCAAAACTCAGACAGGTCTGTGCTCTAGGCCCTGATTTCCTCTTGCAGGACCTTCAAGAGCAGCTGGATGACAGCACACACCTGAACAATGGTCTGAAGGAACAAGTGGCTATAGCTGAGCAGCACAATTCTCCTCTTCAGTCTGAACTAGAGGAACTAAGGTCCTTGCAAGAACAGACAGATCATGGGCTCAGACTGGCAGGCAAAGAGCTCCTAGAAACCTCAGAAAGAATCAGTCTTTGCTATACCCATGTGGGGCCCATAAACTCTCCCTATTAGCTGATTCAGTTGGTTGAAGGCAGCAGTTTTTATCCTTGGGTCAGCCTTAAGCCACGCACAGTTGCCTTGTCAAGTCCTGGGAAAGGCATGAGAAGCACAGGGAGAGCCCGTGCAGCAGAGCAGTGGTCACACTGTTCAGTCATCAGCACTGGACGCTGGACATCTAAAATCAAGGTGTCCACAGCTCCCTCTGAAACCTGTAAGATAATCCTTCCTTGCCTCCTCCTGGCTTCTGTGGTTTGCTGGTCACCTCTGGCATCCCTTGGCATGTGGGAGCATCACACCAGTTGCTTGCCTTCATGTGGCATTCCCCAGTGACTGTTCACCTCATCCTCCCTCTGGTCTTTCTCTGTTAAAATCTCCCTTTCTATAAGGACCACAGCTTTATTGTTTAGGACCTACCCTAATAACCTCATTTTTTAGCTTGATTAATTCTTTTGAGGCCCTATTTCCAAACAAGGACACAGGCTGAGAAATTGAAGTTTGGAATTATAGCATATCTTTTTGGGAGAGACAAAATTTGACTTATAACACTGACCCTTCTACCAAAAAAAAAAAAAAAGGACTGTCAAGGGATTCACAGCCAGGATTCTGGGGAGAGAGGAATGAACATTTCCTAATATTTCAGAGGCACTTGCCTGGTTCTAAGTATCTACTGACAGATATGATAATCTGCTAGTGCTCTGGGTACTTGTGTGAAATTATGTAAGTAAAAAAGCAAAATTCTCAGATCCTTCATCATTATTCCAAAAGCAGGAGAAGCCATGGTGGCTAGGACAAATTTATATAGTCAACAGGTCAAGAAATAAGTATTTTAAGATACCCCCCCATCCCCTGAAAATTTAGCTCAATGTAGATACAAAATGTCTCCACTGTCTTCAAAGATTGACCTAAGGGAACAGCTGAAGAGCATTGCTATGAGTTTGATGCTGCAGACAGCACATCCTGCAGAAGGCACTCCCTGGCCATCCTGGACTCCTTAGGTAGGGGCAGAGTCTTCTTCAACTGAATCAAGAAGTAAGCTGAGAATATAGAAAAGTCAGGGAGAGGCATGCAGGAGAGGGAATTTAGGATTTTCAGGGAAATTCACATACTAGAGCACAGGTTCATTAGGACAGATGAGTAGAAATGATGCCAAGACACAGGCAGGGCCATGTCACCAGGGAACTTGAGTCTGAAACTGCTGGAGTTTGAATTTTATCTGCACATAATGAGGATCCACTGAAGAATTTTGAGTAGCTGAGGGTGAAATTATCGGGTTTACATTGATCAGATATACATTTTAGAAAGTTTACTCTGGTGTTTGTTATGAAGTATAGATTAAAGAAAATAGGGACAGAACATTCATGCTCTGGGGAGTTTAGAAACATCTGTGGGGTCGTTTTAGTTGCCATGGTGACTGGAAAGTACCACATACATTTAGTGGCAGGGTCCAGAGATACTAAAACTCCTTCAAGGTGCTGGATAATCCCATATCAGAAAGAATTGCCCTTTATTGTGCCTGCAGTGAGTATATTAAAATAATGTGTCAACTGGAATTGTTTCTGCTGAAAGGTGTTGGTAGTAGTTTGTACCTACAGTTTGACTTTTGTATTCATGTGGGTGATACAGTCCCTTTGGGTACCATGGGGTATAGAACAAATAGGCCATAAGTTATGCATAATTCCCAGCAGAATAACTCACCTGAACATTTTCTTAAGAAAGTTTATAACCAAAATGAGTTGAATTTTTTTGAAGTTTATAACATCAATTTTTAATAATTTATGATAAAATACTTCCTGATCCTTGAAATTATAGTGAAAAAATTAAATGGTTACTTTTAGAAAAAAACTTTATTAATTTTTTTTATATATGACAGAGAATGTATTACAACTCATGTTAAACATGTAGAGCACGATTTTTCATATCTCTGGTTGTATACAAAGTATATTTACACCAATTTGTGTTGAGTGAATTCTTATAATTCTTATAAAAAGTAAATCATCCATTGTCTACATTACTTAATAACTATTGGTGATAAATCACTTGCCATGCATGTTTAAAGTGACACTGTACTATATGGGTCCCAGTGTGATGAAAAACTACCATGACATGAAGAAGACATCAACCAAAGGGTGGTGGGGGGTGGTGAGGACAAAGGAGGGGAGGATTTGGGGAAAACTTAAAATAAGGCTCTGGAGACTGAGTGTACAAGGCAGATTTTTCTGAAACTTAGGTGGTGAGAGTCACTAACAGAAAAGTGCCAGTTCTCAGATGATGCACACCTACTTGACAAGTTCTCAAGTGCTCCTCCTGGTCCCGAGCACTATCCCTTAATATTATCCTGCTTAGAACAAACGTGAGCTGAATCTTATCTTTGTTGATAGCATATGCCCTCTTTGCAAACCTGAGCTGTGAATGACCCTCCTGCACAATACTCCCTAACCTCTTTCCTACTAAAACAGAACCAGTCAGAGATATTCTGCTTGTAAAGGTTTTAAACATCTCCCTGGTTGATTTTAAATTATTCAATGTGCAAACAAATCAGTGTTCATGTGTGTACCTTCCTTTACAAAGAGTTCCTGTGGAGTTATGTGCAGTGAGTATCCAGAAAACCCTCCAGGAAAATACACTTACCGATTCCCTGCCATGCTCATGGCCATGGAAATCATGGATGCATAGGGCCTGGTTGTCCTCAGGACAGAGGGGCAGTCTTGATGATGCTTCCTGCCATGCACCTGTGTGGCTGGAATGTCTATTTGCAGGCCTTAACCCTGCCACTGAGAGAGGCTCTAGCTAGAGGAAAGTGAAAGGATGAAATGAAAGGAGAACCGAAAAATTGAAAGCCTGTGCCTTTTATACACACTCTCTGTACTAAGGTTTCACACCCTCTGAAAAGCTGTGCCTCAAACACAGAACAGATGCAGCAAGGGGAGATTTGGCCTCCAGTGTCACAACTCGGGCAGGAAAGAATTAGGGCAGCACCAGGTGCAGAGCACAAAGCTCCCTCCCTTTAATGGGGGTTCCTAAGGGCTGGGGACTGAGACTTTTGTGAACTACTTTTTCCTTCTACTCCTCACTGTAGAGTGGAACAGGGAAGCAGGTGGATAAAGAATAATTTCTTCTTCTTCTGTGATGAAATGGCATGCCGGGGATCGTGATTTTTATTCTCCAAGCCCCTGATCCCCAGATACTTTTAGGTAACCATGATTTCACTCTTAGATGTTTTTCTTTATCACAGTGAAAAGCAAAAGGTGGGAAAACATTCCTCAACAAGTTGACAGCCAAACCCATGTTATTAGGGATCCATTTCTCCTTTATGATGGAGGCTACCATCTCTAGTCTTGAACCTCTACATTGATGAAATCCCTTCCATTCAAGTGTGCCCTGGATGGCAAATCACCTGGGGTTGGAGGTCTTGCTTAGCTGCGTGTGGATGACTATGATAAAATTTGCTCCTGGTCTGAGCTGCCTCCCACTGCATGTCCTGAACAGACCAACTTGCATTTGTCTTGGGGTTTCAGCTTGCCAACAGGAATGCTGCTTTTCCTTAGAACACAAGCCTCCTTAACCAGAAGAGGAAACTGGAGACTGATGTTGCTCAGATTTCAGAAAGAAGGAGAAGAGATGATACAGATGTGTCAAAAGGCAGAAGAGAAGACCAGGAAGGCAGCCATGGAGGTGGGCCTATTACCTGTCTGCTCAGTCCTGTGATCCAGAGTTCACTGGAGCAGGAGCCCAGATACAAGAGCCCATGTACAGTCAAAAAGATTCCATTGATTCCCTGCAGCATCAGGAGGAGGTTAGGTGACCCCTCTGCCTCCCTGTGCTCAATTTGAACAGCTAGTCCAATTACCTCCTCCCTTCCTACCTACCCTGGCACTAAAAAGGAGCAGTTGAATTATCTTAAGCAGAAACTTGTGATAGCAAGAGCCTTTTTTAAAAAAATTTAGTCATTTTTTGCTTGTGAATCAATATATCTATTTCTAGAAACCATTCTTCCTGTGGTTCCCTGCAAATAACAATTTTTTTCTGGGGCCTATAATCGTTTTATGATGAGGATCTGAAAACAGTGCTTAAGTCACTGATGTTTTTACACTACACACCCCTGCTTAGGTAGAAAAGTCAGACTTGCAAAGAGAGCTACAGGGCTGGTATGCCCTCTTTATAATGCAAATTTAAATTTGTTGTTGTTGGTGCTTCTCCTAAATGCCACTTAATCTGCCAGCCTCAATGTACCCTTGTGAGAACTGGATAAAGGCCATCTTCAGGGCACCCCCTCAGCGCTGATGTAAAATTCTCTCAAAGGACATGGGAAGTGGAAGTACCACTGAGTAAAAGATATTAGAGGAGGAAGGGTAGAGGGTCAAGATTTCATGTAAGAGGACCTAGCTCCTGGGTCTCAGAGCTTGCTAAGTGGGGCTTGGGCTTTATTTTAGTTTCTACTCATCCTTCAGTGTCAAGGGCTTTGTCTCAGCTCATCAAATGTGCAACAACAACATGTAGTTACCCTGATTCTGCTATGTGAATGGAGGTTAATTCCTTACTTAAAACTGTGAGAACTGGACCTTCAATTAGATTTTATATTAGTCATTTTTAAATTGAAAAGAGATTTAAAAAATGTTATTTACAATGTGGAGAACTAAATAAAACTTTGGTTGTAAAATTCAGCCATTAGGCCATTGTGGAGCCCAGCCTTCTGGAATGGAGAAGTTTACCTATCACTCATCCATTTTTTATGAAGGAAGGTAATTCTGATTTTAGGTAGAAATGAAGTATGAGAAGCCAGGCACAGTGGTGCATGCCTGTAATCCCAGTGGCTCAGGAGACTGAGATAGGAGGATCACGAGTTCAAAGCCAGCCTCAGCAAAAGCGAGGTGCTAGGCAACTCAGTGAGACCTTGTCTCTAAATAAAATACAAAATAGTTCTGGGGATGTGGCTCAGTGGTTGAGTGCCCCTGAGTTCAATCTCTGGTAATCACCCCACCACCACCCCCCTAAAAAGAAAAAAAAAAGAAGTGAAGCATGTGAAAACTCAAAGATGTTTGATGTCAAGAGAAAAGAATATCTGTGAAAACCCACATACTTAAAAAGGAACAAAAAGTTTTTCTTCCTGCCTGGTAAATGTTTGCAGTCACACCTTATGAAGATACTGTCTGATTAACCTTTCCTTTATAGGACTTTCCTGATAATGCTGAAAAGTGAGCCCACTACCTCTTCTCCCTCTTCACCCTCCAGTTCTCCAACAGTGTAGCTGTGAGCCCCAACCCTACATAGCAGAGCCCAGCGTTGCCTCTATAACTCTCATTCATTGCCCTCACCCTCTGCAGAGATGTCTCATACTTAAATTCTACAGATGGTTGGTAATCAGATGGAGAAACTTTGGCTAGCAGAGTTGTATTTTTACATTAAATGCACTAAGAGATTCATGATACAATTCTTAATAATCATACTGGGACCCCAAGCCCTTGTATACACATCCACAGCCAAGAGTAAGATTCACAATTAACCTTCCTTGTGCCAGAGTACTGGTGCTGAGAGCATCTGTTACTGCCAAATTCCTGCAGCTTAAACTTGTTTCCGATAGTGAATCACAAAATTAGAGAAGTGAGATTTAAAAATAGTTTGTGTTCTTTGTGACATCAGCTACTTTATTCAATAATAATTGATTTAAATCAATTGCCTCAATTGATCTTTTTTTTTTTTTTCCAGCACAGATGTTGTGTCCTAATGTGATGTGGTACTTCATCTTTGATCTGGTTCCACCACTGCTCATCCCAATCTCTCCCGTCACTACTTCTATCTATTGCCCCACATTCACAAACTCAAGGTCAGTAGAGGTTGGAGAGCATGGTGGAAAGAGATCATGTACATAGTCAAGGCATGGCATCCAGTTAGACTAAAACTGAAGATTGTTGGCAGAAATGTGAAGATCAATTATCTACTGGTGTAGCTCAGTCCTTTTTTTCCTGGGTAATTCAAGGCCTAATTGTCCTGGAATATTGTATTGTATTGATGTCCCCACCCTCGTCACTTTTTGTTTTAGCATTTGCAGATCTTTTAAAGTATCTTATCTCAACCTTTCCTCTTGGTGCTAGGCGAGAATTCATCTTCTCCCACTCACCACAGCAGCTCTAGTCTCTCCACAGGAGGGTTGTCCACTGTATCCAAACACACCTTAGCAGTTTTACTTCTGTGTCTTTGCTCCTGTTGTTTTCTCTGTGGAAAGTGCCCATTTCCTAACAACTAGGAATCCACGATCCAGAAAGTCTCAGTGCAGATATAGGAATGACTGACAGAAATGAGGTAGTATCTGCCTTCAGGGAGCTTAGAAAAACATAGGATAAACTATCTTAAAAATAGAACCTGTGAAATTGTTGAATTAATTTTAATGTCTACAGGTCATATGACAAATGCTACAGAGATGGAAAGAATATTCAACTGAAATTTGATAGTTCAAATTCCATTGTACATTCACACAGTAGAATACTAATGCATATTTATAGGCCATTCATACAATTGTGTTGATTAAAAGGGAATGAAAAAGAGCTATAAAATCTGTCCTGGAGATCACACTTAACAGTATAATCATGACCAAAGGTGAAGGTGATGTGGAGAGTTAAAACCCTCTTATGAAAGGAGGGGGAGAATATGAACACACGCACATACTTATATTTTGAAGAAATGGTGACAGAATAAATTAAAAATTCAATGAAAATGGCTACTTATAGGAAGAGAACAGAGAAAAGAAAGCTATATATTCTGAATTTAACTTATTTGGTTGTTTTAATGGCATAATAATTTAAATCATTTACATACTTCATAATTAAAACACGTTTGTGAAGCAAAAAAGGCCCAGAAGTCCCCAAAATTTAAACACTATGGAAGCAAATGAAGATAACTATTTATCAAGCAGACCACATAAAACATGCACAAAAAGAGTTATTCTCAGTGGCTTTTTCTTTTCTTTTCTTTTTTTGTACCAAGGTTTGAATCAGGTATACTTGACCACTGACCCACATCCCCAGCCCTATTTTGGATTTTATTTAGAGACAGGGTCTCACTGAGTTGCTTAGTGCTTTGCTTTTGCTGAGGCTGGCTTTGAACTCGCAATTCTCTTGTCTCAGACTCCCAGTGGCTTTTAAACATAGGTTTTATATATCATTCATATTATGTAAGGGTAAAAGAGCAAATTGAATTTACATTTCACAATAATATATTGCTACTAACAATAATACAAATAGAATTGTTTATTCAATAACATACATAGGAACCCAGATTTTTAGTATAAGAAAAAAAGCTCATAGGCATAAAACCAAAGAACTTATACAAATTTCCCTAAAATCTACATGAATAATAGTGGAATTATCTCCAATTTAAGATTGCAAGATTTTATTTCCGTTTGGTATTTGTTCAATGTTGTGACCCAGAATCAGTTATAACTGAGCAGCAGTGATTTCCTAAATAATCAGATGATATAAGGAATTCTGGTTAATTTTCTTAAATATATATTAAATATATGTACATATGTTCCTTGTGCATTATATGACTTCAGTTACTTATATCCAAAAACTGATAGTGTCGTGTTCTTTTACTCAATTAAAATCCATTGCCTCAATTGAGCACATATTTTATATAATTGTATATAGATATATGATATCAAAATATCATTGTTTGAATTAATTTTTCACCACTACAACAAAATACCTAAGACCAGGTAATTCATATAGAAATTTCTTTGGCACATGATTCTGAAGGCTGAGAAACCCAAGAGCATGGTGCAGGCACGTGTGTAGGCCTTCTTGCTGCATCATAATGTAGCAAAGGACATCGCGTGGTGAGACAGATTGAGCGTGCTAACACAAGTTTCTTTCTCTTCTTACATGAATGCTGTATTTGGGGCTTCACCTTCATGACTTCATTTAACTTTAATAACCTCCCTCTCAAAGTCCTGACATCCAAATACCATTAGTATATGAATTTGGGAATTAAGTTCACAGTGCATGAACTTTTTGGGGAGTCTTTCAAACCAAAGCAACTATCATTACCTGTTAGAAATATGTAAGTATTTATTGGTGAAATTATATAATGTCTAGGATTTGCTTTAATAAAGCAGTTTTTCACCCAGAGGTATCTTAATAACTTTTTTTCAAAGTCCTTAAAAAAGTACAGAGGAGGTTCTCTGTTATCTCTTCTGCCAATAGACAGAACTATGTAAAGTTCCTAGAGAACCAGAAAGCAGGAATGGAAATGGAAAGGTGTCCGTGATTTTGTAACAACAGGCTTTTTCACCAGGGAACCATCACAGCTGTTGACCTTCTCTCCTTCCCTTTCTTAATGCACCTAGCTTAGGAGGAACAAGGGGGTCAGTGTGGTTCCAGTGGCAGGAAGGAGGCAAGGATAGGGAGAACTGGGATCCATCTCACCAGAGCCATTCAGGGCATTCAGCTTCGCAGTTTTAAGATGGTGATCAGGAGGCCTCTTGCAGAAAGTAGCATTTAAGTCAGGGAAACCACAGAGAAAGAGTCATGGTGGACTGGGAGAAGAGCCCCTCAGCAGAAGCAGCAGCCCATGCTCTTTCCCCACCAACTCTCTAACCTCTATACTTCCTTACTTTTCTTCATAGCACTTGACACCATCGCACATATACTGTATTTCACTTAGGTTTTTCTGAACCTCCTCATAAGACTGAATGCTGAAACAGGAATGATTTCCTTTTTGTTCACTTCTTTATCCCTGGCACCAGGGTGTGGTGTGTGGTAGGCATCTTGCTGAATGTGTGTTATGCTAATCTTGTATACTATAGCTCTCCCACAAAGCAGGGCTGTAGGGCTGTGTGTGACATATGTGTGATGGAGACTTAGGGTCTGCACTGAATAGAAAAAGCAGCTTAAGGCCAGGGAGTTTATTGGCTGAATCCTCAAAGCCTGCTATATACAACTCACTTCCTGTACTTACAGACATTCATGCACGCATACACGTGTGGATATGAGTGTGATTTTGTAATGTAAGAAGGGAGGCTTCTCCCCTCTGTGTGGATTAGCCTTTCATGTCCTTTAGAATCTTAACAGTCCTTTGTGAGTGCACAGTTCAACCAGCTCACATTTGGCAGGGGAGTTTTCTCAGAGAGGTTGCCCTGTTTAATCCCTATCAGAAAAAGAGCAGACACATCATTCCTCGACTATTTCAACTGATCCTCCTGTTGGCAGACACTGTACCAGCCTTGCTGCCAGCATGTGATCTGAGGTCATGGTTTGGTTACAGGTTCATGAACTGGAAGGTGAACTGGAGGGCCAGCTCCATCACAATGAGGAGACCTACAGGGAAGCTCACAGACTGGAGCAGTGCATCAGAGAGCTGACCTATCAGGTAGTGCAGAGAACCATTCCCTGTGTATATAGTTGGGCTGGACCTTGCAGAAGTGTGCTCCTTCCAGGCTGAAAAATCCTCCTGGGACCCCTGCAGTTTTCTCTGAATCTTTGATCTCCCTCAGCAGCACTGACTCACCTCCCAGGGCTCTGTTCGTATCTGTTCTTATGATTTTAGGTCGATGCTTCTACAGAGCTTGCAGGGATGGGAGCGGTAAGTTGCAATTAGAAGTGAAATCTATTTATGCCATCCTTATTTTTTCACACATAGTGTTTGCAGCACTTTCACAAGCGTGCCTTCCTGTGAGAGGCTGAGTGAGAACAACATGTAAATGAAGTGACTGGTAAAGGCTTGAATGACCACCCAGCCAGCAGATTACATGGGATGCTAATTGAAGCAGGGGACATTTCCATTCCTGTTTTGCACAAACACTCAAGGCCGCTGAGGACTCTATTGCTAATGCCAGTTGGTAACAGCAAATACTATAGAAAGGCCTAAGGCTTTCGGAATCTCACCTATTGACTAACATTGGTCTCAAGCAAAAAATTGAAATGATGTGGGAACACTTCTTATAAGTTCTTAATGGAAGGAGTGGTGTAATCCTCATCCTCACTCTTGCCTGTGCCGCCTGTCGCTTTTCTTGCTAGTGCAATACCTAGATGGCGCTCTGTGGTCCACACTCTAAAGCCCAGCAGCCTCCTGGTACACAGCGTGTGCACATACTTCAGTTGTTTAACACAGATGCCAAAAGTTACTTTCTAGTCTTCTCACAGTGAACAAATACAGCTTATTGCATTGAAAAGTGGAATATTTCATCTTGGGGGCCCACTTTCACAGCTCCTCTGACAGTACTAACACAGGATCTATGGGTCTTGGTTCTGATTCCTGAGACTGAGTTGTTAGAAACGTCAAAGTCTTCCTCCCTTGCAGCAGGAAGCACAGTGTTGATAAGAAAGCGGAGCACTTCAGACATATCATCTTGGGCTAATTAAGATGAAATGAGCTACTCAAACAGCTCTTATTACTGAATAAGTGGTTCTTTTTATGAGATGCATTTGTCTGACACTTCTTTAAACAATGTGAGGTATATCAAAGCCAATGAAGAGTGAGCCCATGATATGTGTAGTTAAGAAAGTAAACAGCTTGGGAACATGAAAGTTTGCTAATCTAGTCTTCTGTAGAGCAGGGTGGGGAAGCCACCCATGTTGATGAGGTCAAATAATGCAACTTGTTAGGAATGTTTGGGTTTTGTTTTTCTTTTTATTTCCCCATTGATTATTCTTATTTTCATCTTTAAACAATTCCATTATGGAACAAAACACCAAAGCTATAATTTTTTGGTTTTCATTGTCCCAAGGAATGTAATCTTATTCTATTGTGTTGTTTTTGTTCCTTCATTGCAATAATCTCAGTGTTTCTCATATATTAGTTTGGAGGTGCATTTCTTAATTTCTTCCAAGTGTCTGCACAATGTTGAGAGTGGATCCAGTCAATTATGCAAATGAGTGGGTTCCACCATCAAATCCAATAATACCTACTGAGCCCTGACTTCATGCAAGATATTGGGCTAGACCCCGCGATTTGAAAGAGACGCTAGCAGGCTCTCCACATTTCTTGATATCCATATCTTGTTCATAAACATTCAAGGTTGGTACTTTGTCAATTCATTTCATCTTTATTAAACATCAAAATGCCCATCAGAATGAGGCAGGATGTTTTGTAATAGCCCATTAATAGGTACACATTCAAAAATGTCCCTCTCAAATGTCCCTCCTGGTAAAATCCTCTGGGGAGATTTTATAACCATGTACTGAATAGGGAATCAAGTGTAACTTTATTCCATAATGGTGCTATGGTTTTCCCCACTGTACCCTTATCTTTTCCTTTCTGTTCTTCTGCCATTTGGAAACAATGCTAGAAAGCTAGTGCTTCAAAAGTTGTGCGATAAAGCAAAACATGAGATGAGAAACTGTAACTGTTGTAGAAGGTAAAGACAATTTCCCTGCCCCTCACTCTCTGTATCAATTTTACCTTTTACTACCTCTAACATTCAGGAACCTATGTGTAGCTATTCCTTAATCCTTACACACATATAGAACAAAAAAAGGACTTTGTGGCCTCAGTGTCAATGCTATGGCAGATCCAAAGATGCTGTAGTTAGAGGTTGCACTTTTCACAGCTGAGTGGTCACAGCTTTTCTGGAAGGGACATCCAATATACAGTTATGGCCACCATAGTTATTTATTGGCTTAGAGCCATGATGTGAGTCTGGGTCTAACATCAAAGGCTTTGCCTTCCCAAGTGGGAGGAGCATCATTAACATCAGCAACTACTTTAATTCACCTCTCTTATATGTGGCCTCATTATCACCTATCTCCCCAGAATTGTTATTATCAATTAACCCCATGTTGATTTTAGAGTTTACTGTAAACAGAATTCTGTGAATCTTTAAATTTCATAAAATATATTTTACTTAAAACATGGTCTTTTCTCAGCTCCTCAACCAGGTTGATTCCTATGTATTCATCTTTGCCTCAGTAAGCTTCAAATGAGTAATTTTCTACTGTCAGATTCCAGGTGATGCAAACAGCTTGGCTAAAATCATAGAGAAGGGCATAAGCAGGAGCTGTGAGAAAATAGGGAGCAATGAGCCTGTTGCAGTGGGAGGGTTTGGGGGAGATAGGGGAAAGTAAGTGTGGAACCAAAGGAGTTGATAATTGATAAAAGAAGTAAAATGCTGTGGCTTGAATCTTGAACATACCCCCATATGCTCAAGTGTTGAAGGCATAGTCTCCAAGACATGGTGCTATTATTGGGAGATAATAGGACCTTGAAGAGGAACGGCCTAAGGTAAGAAAGTCCTGTCATTTGGGGTTTTGCTATTAAAGAAGACATTGGAAGCCTGACTCTTTGTTTCCCAGCTACCAGGCAGTGAACAGCTTCCTCCCCCACTCCCACCATGATGCATTCACTGCCTTGCCACAGGCTTCCAAAGCAACCAATAATTGAAACCTCTGAAGCTGTGGGTAAAACGTCTTTCCTCCTTTTAAGTTGTTTATCTTAGGTATTTTGTCACAGCGATGGCAAACTAACTTACACATGAGGGAAGCTGAGAGTGCATATAAAGTTCAACCAGCAAGGTTATAGGGGGTTCTAAAATTCTGCCACCATGTCCAAGGATGCCAGACATAGACTTTGGATTTGATGTTTGCCCTGCTGTGTTTTCATCTTGCTTTTGGTCTGATCCTTGCTTTCCATTCCCCTCTGCCTCCTTCTGGAATAGTTACCCTTTGCCATTGTATCTTGGAAGTCTGTAACTTTATATTTACAGGGGCTCAGAGCTAATGGCTTGCTTCGAGTCTCAGAGGAGACTTTGTACTTAAGCTTTTGAGCAATGCTGGAAAGTTAAGATTTGGCAGACTCTTGGGCATTAACTAAATACATTTGATTTGTAAAAGGGGCAGAATCCTATAGTTTGGATCTTGAATGTCCTTCAAAGGCTTGTAAGTAAAAGTCTTGGTTCATGGCCTGTGTTGTTATTGGGAGTTGGTAGAACATTTAAGAAGTGGAGCATTGTGGAAGAAAGTCTAGTTACTGAGGCCAAACCCTTCCTCTCCGTTTTGCTTCTGGCAGCCATGAGGTGAACAATTTCTCTACCATGTGCTCGTACTCTGATGTACTGGCTCACGATAGACCCAAAAGCAACAGGCCAACTGACCATGGACTGAAATCTCCAAAACTGTGAGCAAAAATAAACCTTTCCTCTTTTTAAGTTGAGTATCTTAGGATTTGGTCACAGAAACAAACACATGAAGCCAGTACCAAAAATGTAAGCAACAGGGGTAGATATTAAGTTTATTTCTCAATCCTCAGTAGATTGGGATATTTTCTTCCTTTGGAAAGTTCAACTGCTCTGAAATAGAAACACTCCAGTTAAGGGGGAATTGGAGATATGAAGGTGGTAGGGAGGATGAAGAGTCCTGTCCACCTGCCTGCCTCTCCCCTGCTTTTTCAGAATACCAAAGACTCCATGTAGCACAGTAAGACACGGCCTCCCCAGCTGTCCTTTCTGTAACCCAACCATGGACTGTACCTGAGGCAATGAGACTAAGCACACTAAGGTCCCCACATCGTATGCAGTTTTCCTATCTCTGCTGATACCCATGCCAGAATCCAGAAAATTTACCTTTCCTATAGTTTCATTTTTCAAACCTATGGGTTAATTACAAAGTTCAAGGAATGAGTTGTTTTGATTGGAGTGTTATTGATTTTCCATTTTGCATATGTGGTCTTTTTAATAATGCACTTCATTCCTATTGAGAAACTCAGGCACCCATAGCTTGGTTGGAATGGAGAGGCTGAACACTATATTGAATGTAATGGCTTTAACTTCCACTTCAGCAAAGCCTGGGGGTGTTGTGGGTGGATCAAGAGGAATGGCTCTGTCGTTGCTCAGAGCTGAGTTTAATTTCTCAAAAATCGGGGTGAGTAGTTAAGTCCAAAACAACTCTCAGATGGTGGTTTTTAATAAAATTTCCCTCATTTCCTCACATGAGGCTATTCCCAGTATAGACTGCCAAATCTTCCAAATTACCTTCAAGTACAATCCTATGCATTTTAGGCAGAGGAAGACAAGAAAATTGAGCAAGATGCAGACTCTGACGGATAAACTTCAGCTCAAAGTGCAAAATTTCAAGCAACAACAAGAGGCGGTGGTAAGTGCCTGGCACAATTGCAGCCTCATGAATTTCCCAGCCATTGCTTTTGGTTAGTGGAGATTGATGACTCCAGGCTTGCAGAATAACTTGTCAGAGAGGGCCAGCTGAGGTTAATGTCTGCCCATTCTGGTCTTTCTTAATTTAGGCCTATCATCCCTAGAAAACATTTGTGCTGTTTTGGAAAGCCAGAGCAGGCTCCCTCAACCTTGTGGTTATACCCACACATGGACTATAAGAGATGAGAGAAGTAATAGCAGGGTATTGTGCAGGGATGACCAATTTTGGGCAGGATTGTCACCCTGGGGCTTCCCAAATCCCCACACTTTGGATGAGCATAAACACAACAGTTCACGATACTTTTTCCTGATAAGCCTGGACATGGCTGTGGACCAAACCGCCATCTTTGGAATAGTATCTGCAGCTCCATGGAATGTAATTGATAAGTGCCATATATGTTTTTTAATGTTTTATGTTTTTAATAGTACATGCAGTTATATATAATAGTTTCATTCTGACAATCATATGCATAGACCATGATTTGTTCCATTTTCAGTCCCTAGTACTTCCTTTCTCCCTCCTCCGTTTTGTTTCTCTACTGGTCTTCTATTGTTTTATAATTGGTGCTTTATTGATATAAATTAAGATGGAATTCACTGTGGTATATCCATATATGTATGTAGCATAATTTGATAAATTTCATTCTTCAGTTCCTCACATTTCCCTTCCCTCTTGATCTCCCCTTTATTTTCATGGTTCTTCCCCCACTTATTTTGCCCTAGCTTCTACATATGAGAGAAAACATTTGACTTTGAATCTGGTAGGTTCTCCATCTCTATTCATTTACTGGCAAGTGTCATTATTTCATTCTTTATGGCTAAGTAAAACTCCATTGTGTATCTATACAAAATTTTTTTGTTTATCTATTGATGGATACCTGAGCTGGCTCCATAATTTAGCTATTGTGCTGCTATAAACATTAATATGCCTGTATCACTATTCCATGCTGATTTTAGTTCTTTGGGATAAATACCAAGGAGTGGAATAGTTGGATCCATTTCTAGTCTTTTGAGAAATCTCCATACTACTTTCCAAAGTGGTTGTACTTTGCAGTCCCACCAACAATATAAGGGTGTTCCTTTTCCCTTAAATCCTCTTCAGAATTTTGGTTTTCTTGATGATTGTCATTCTAAGTGGCATGAGATGAAATCTGTTTTGATCCTTGTTTACCTGATTGATAGTTGGCCATTTGTGTTTTTTAGGTGTTAAGTTGTTTGAGTTCTTTAGAGAGTCTGGATATTAATCCCCTGCTGAAGGAGTAGGTTATGCCTAATATTTAATAAGGTGTTTTAAATTAATTGATTTGGGCTAAAATAACACTGTCTTAAAATTACCTGTTGATTCATAACTTGACCCAAAGGCAGAACACAATCTTGAACTGACTTATAAATAACTATTTGCTCTAGCACATAGCAAGTCTATGAAAGCTCTACTACTTGCAATTAATGGAAAGTGCCCAAGGGGTTCTGAATTTCCAGGGAATAGCAGCTATGAAAGTGGATCTTGTACCTGCTACAAAGTCTGAATTTCTATATATCACACCCAAATTCATTCAATACTCAGAAGGTGATTTTTCACCTTTTCCTTGTCAGAGCAGAAGAAACTATTCAGGGATGGGGATTTTTTATTTTCATATGAGGCACAAGCCAATCAATTAGCTTTCCAAGTATAAGCAACATGAGCTCATCAAGTGAAGGAAAGGGCAGAGACAGCAGAATCTCAAGTCAATAAACTGAAGATTAAAGCAAATGTGTTTAGGAAAAAAAAGTACAGCAGATATTCAACTCTGGTATAACTTACAGCATGTCAGGTTAGGTCTCACTTCATTGCTTTATTTTTTTAAGTAAAGTTCAAATAAAATCTTCCTATGTTCACAAAAATTCTTTTTGGCTAGATAATAGGGAAGCACATCCTATTTATAGTTCAAAGTTCTTAATTGCAGGTTAACTTCAGGTTCTAAGTGCCAGGCTGGGCCCTCAAGTCATTCAAGTAGAATATCCAGGACTCCATGGAACAAAGACTTGAAAAGCATTAAAGGATATGCTGAAAATTAATTGAATACTTTTCATGGTAGACAAGTGCGTGACTTTGTATCACATCAACACAGAGACCGGGGAAGATGTTTAAAACTGAGGGAATGAAGGAGGCAAGATACTCTTTCTATTCCTAAAATTATCCCCAAACAGAGAAGGATCTTTCTGCACCTTTGTGGTTCATGAAATGACTGTTCTGATCCAGTGGTAGAAGCCAGTACCCTAATTTTATGGGAAATGTGGCTCAGTGCAAAAAAACCTTGAACTAAATGTTCAGAAGGAAGGTTCAGCTTTTTGAGATTTTCCCAGGAACATAATTTTTAAATGAAGTGAGTTAAGAGATTGGATAATGTGATAGTAGATCCCCTTCACAGAATGCCTGTAAAGCATTTAGCACAGTTTCCAGCTCAGACAGGCACCATCTTTCATTTTAATAATTTGGTGCATCCTGTACTATTTATTTCTGATAAATGATTTACTACTAGTAGCCCTATAAGATGAGTTGATGAGGTTAGCAACAAAAATTACCACCTTAAGGGAGGTCAAATGGATTTCTTGAAGGAGGGACTAAAAGTTTGTTGCACTGAATCTATTTAGCTCTAAATATGAGAAGTAGGAGTCATTGCCAACACCAAGATTTCTTATTGATGCCTGAAAAGCTATCATGGATATGTCCTAAATATAGGCTGTAAGTGGCTTGAATGCTGGTCTCAATTTGAGAAGTGTATGGCAATGGATTTAGGGTCTTCTCTGCAGAGCCTGCCCAGCGACCCCATATAATGGAATTGTTCAGGGAGGTACCTCACAAGTGCTCCAATTTCACTCAGCTGCAAGAGCTTGAAGGGCATCCAAAACGGATGCCATGTATTTGACTTTGTTGCAGTTATTTCTAACAAAGAATGAAGCAAAAAGGGCCTCTGAAAGGCCAGAGATGAATATGAAAAGCTTTCTTGGCAGTGCAATGACTGTTTCTTATTCACAGAAGAAAAGCCTAGAAATCCCTCAACTGATATATACGCATAAGGAAAAGGTTTTCTGATAGAACAGTGTGTCAGGGCTGTGGAGAAAATTGATGATGTGGCTGCAGAATCTTCCCCCTCAGTGGGGAATGGGGACAGAAAACAGTGACCATGCCCTTGGAGTGTATACAGAATGTGTCTGCTTTCTGTAATGCAGATAACTGCCTCAATTCCCTGCCTCCTTTTGAAGAGCTGGCTAAGACCTACTTACCTCTGAGAGGACTTGGCATGGTCTGAGCATGTGCTTCACTGGTGAAAGTCACTGGAACTTCATAGAAAATACCAATATTGTTTTTTTAGGTTCATGAAGAATAAGCAATTTCTTCTTATAAAGGAAACTACTGGAAAAGGAGGGGGCCATTTTATAGCCAAAAACTCATGTTGTTTTCAAGAGGAACATTTACAAGATAATTAGAAAATTGCCAGGTGCAGTGGCACACACCTGTAATCCCAGAAGCTTGGGAAGCTGAGACAGGAGGATCTCGAGTTCAAAGCCGGGCTAAGCAATTCAGTGAGACCTTGTCTCTAAATAAAAAGAAGATAGGGATGTGGTTCAGTGGTTGAGTGTCCCCAAGTTCAATCCCTGAAACCAAAAAAAAAAAATGAGACTTTGGTCCTTAAAAGCATTTCTTTATGTTAGAAGAGCCAATGAATGCAAGAATTTCTTAAATTCTGATGTTAAAAAGTAAATGAATACTTCTTTCATCCATACTGCTTCTTAATGCATAAAACTTATAGAATATACTCTTAGAGCAATTAGGCTCCATGGGAATTATGACATGTTAGTAAAATGATTTTTACTGATAACCAACTAGATTTAGTATGGTGAGTCTTGGGGACCTCCAAAGAGTACCAGTATCTCTAATACTATTTAGGGAAAATGTAGTATTTTAAGCCATTAATGGTGAGAGTTGATAAAATTTTAACAATGTTCTAGATATAACCAATTAGTCACTTTAAACTTAGAGGAAAACATTCCTAATGGACGTACATGTAGGCTATATGCCAACATGGATTTTTAACCACTGAGGCAGTGTATCACACAGGAGTTCAGTACAGGATGACATGCAGGCTTTGTACTGTTGCAGTGTGGTTAAACAGCAGAGACATGTCCCAGAATCCCTGTTTGCATGGTCTGGATTGAAGTTGGTCATGAGAGAAACTTGCATTAGTAAGGAAACATAAATGAGCATTCATTTATTTCATGCTCATAAGGTCAGTTGATGGCCCCAGGTATTGTGACAGCTCAGAACTATCATCCCAGGCCAAAAGGTGAATTAGCAGAGCTCAGTGACTCTTCTAGTCGCCTTCAGCTTTGCAGGGTCCTGGCCAGGCATGTGTGTATAGCACCAAGACAAACATGGTGCTACATGTTCACTCAATATTGCAAGCCTGGTTGCCAGTTGTAACAGAATCCAGGTGTGTCAATTCTCAAGCTGGCAGTACCTTTTCCCTAAATAGTATTAGAGATACTGGTATTCTTTGGGGGTACCCAAGACTCACCATACTAAATCTAGTTGGTTATTCTGCTACAACCATTTATGTACAACTAAAGAATAAATAAGAAATTTATTTCTTATGGTTCTATGTAAAACTAGAGCATTTTCAAGTCAATTGCCTTTCTTAGATCCAGGCCCTGGTTTTCCACCTTTTTACTAAAGTGACTCCCTGCTTTTGCCCATTAACAGTGAATCAGATGTCGAATCAACTCCTAGTAATACATTCCTTTTGAGTTCTTGGTGGATACTCACTGTAGCCTCCTGGGCTGACTAAAACAGGTATGTAAATGAATGAGAATTATTTTCTAGGGATTCCTTGCATCTGGACAGTCATAGTAATGTA